ATGTTACAGAATTTAAGTCTAATCGAATACTCATACGTCACTTTCAAAATACCTCTATATGACGTCATTTTTATTAAGTTTAAAGCATTATAATAAAAAAAGTACTTTAGTGAGCTCAAATCTATGTGAATTAGAGCGATTAAAGAAAATTAAAAAAAGTGATTAAACTCGTAGCCAACTATTTCTTCAGATCTTTCTTCTCTCAAAATGTTTCTCTTTCATTTTCCAAATTCCTTTCACCAGCCCTAGCAAAGGTTTTACCCTTTTTCACTGACTTATATTTCAAATCTTTTTTTCACCCCTTGCCCCGGGGTAAAATACTTGAAATATCCCGGGGCAAATTTTTACTATTTTACTGAACAAATATTTTTTTTCATAACAATAATTCATAAAAACCATCGTCCTCATCATGATGATCGTCGTTGTTTATAGGAAATGCAACATATCGCTAATATACCCTGGCGTGACGGGGTGGAAACTCTAGTAATAACTTGACAAGTAAAATAGTTACCCATTTTCTATTTTTAATTATTTTTTTTTAATTTAATTTCGGTGCCTAAAAGTTATTTTTCAATTACTATGGTTAAAATGAAACGTGTGTTACCGCACTAATCGAGTATTATGCACGCACTAATCGAATATTGGTTATAAAAAAAATGTAAGCGCACTAAACGAAAACGCATTAATCGAATGCGCATTAATCCAGGGATCCCTGTATATTAGAAGTTGTTAATCTAACTATAGGGTATACTATGGAATGTTAGTACTTGCCTTGTCATTTTTGACGGTTATACCCTACTCTATAATAATAAAAGAGCGTGTATGTCTGTTTGTGATTTCTATTTGTAATATAAGGAACCACTTCTTTTCTATGTAGTTTTTCGCTAGCTTGCCTCATTAAAAAGATGCGCACGTGCATGCGCGCACTCACGTGGATAATATAAGTAATAATACCCAGGTGCACACCCTCAGAGGTCCACTTAGTATAGGTGCAAAATTTCAGGTCTCTAGGTTCTTTCCTCTTGGAGCTATGGCGATCACACACACAGACACGCCCTTTGAATATTATAGATACTACTGTACATTAAATGTGTTAATAACACAATCCGCCTACGAAAACGTATCCACTTTTGTAAAACATATGTAATACAATTAAATATATAAATGAAAGCTGCATACATAAATTTAGACACGATAAAATCTGTATGCAATCCTTCAGAAGTATAGTAACATTGTCGGTCTATAGAAACACCACCCGCCTTTATAAGGCACATGTTGTGAATATCTGTGTCAGTCTCATTAAGTCTGTGATATAACTAATATATATTAATAACATCTGCTTCAAACATATTGTGGTTTTATATGAATGGAGGTATAATCGATTTGAAAATATAAAATATGCGATATGTTTGAATCCTTTACTCATTATAGAATATAATTATAATCTATTATTTTGAATTTATTTGCTGGAAAATACATGTCTTGTTCAAATATTAGCACGTAGAAATGAAAAAGTATAGTGTTGATGAGGGAATCATATGATGTAACCTCTCTCCAATCAACTCGCTCTCTGGTGCCAGATAACTTTCGCCACACAAAAATATGTTAATGAATAATGCTGATGACGTAATTATATGATGTCACCCCTCTCTTAGTGGCAGGCAACTTCCGTTTTCCAAGTCCTGTCTTAACAGCTTCAATTTTTTTGAATTCCGAATAGATGTAAGTAGCTTGCTTTAATCAGAAACTGTTAGTAATATGTAAGAATCTCAGACTAAATTACGCTACTTGTCAATGTGTGTGTGTGTATGAAAATCGCTAACTTACGTCACATTTCGATGTTGCTTCACATGCAATTGGTTGAATGTTTGACTGACGTATTTCTTTTCCAGGTTTGGCTTTTTATCCATCTCGTAAAGCACATTAAGAACAGATTCGGTTATTTCGGATGCAATGTCTTTCGGAAGAATACTGTAGAGCAACATCTCCTGAAAACATCATATATATTAGAGCATGTTATATCATATATAAACGTTACATTTAGAGCATGTTATATCATATATAAACGTTATAGTTAGAGCATGTTATGTCATATATAAACGTTACATTTAGAGCATGTTATATCATATATAAACGTTATAGTTAGAGCATGTTATGTCATATAATAAACGTTACATTTAGAGCATGTTATATCATATATAAACATTACAGTTAGAGCATGTTATATCATATATAAACTTTACAGTTAGAGCATGTTATATCATATATAAACGTTATAGTTAGAGCATGTTATATCATATATAAACGTTACAGTTAGAGCATGTTATATCATATATAAACGTTACGGTTAGAGCATGTTATATCATATATAAACGTTACAGTTAGAGCATGTTATATCATATATAAACGTTACAGTTAGAAGTTTATATATGATATAACATGCGTTACAGTTAGAGCATGTTATATCATATATAAACGTTACAGTTAGAGCATGTTATATCATATATAAAAGTATACAAATTTATATAAGTCAACATGCTTCATCTATTGATGTTAAGCTATACAGAAATTGTTACAATGTGACAATATATATCCAAGTAAACGTTACTTGTTTACGGAGATATATATATATATAGTAAATGTTTCGATCAAACATCGTTCGATAAGTTTCTGCTAACTTTCTGGACAGACATTAAACAATATTACCATAAAGAAGTATGGAGCAGTTGAAACTGTGTGAAAATAAAACCAGATGTTTTATACACAATTAAATATCTTGTTTGTATCTAAACTATTTCACCAAAGTCTGTGTGTGTGTGTGTGCATGTTCGCTTGTACAGGGGAGTGACATAGAGGAGCCGGAGTTTCAATCTGACCTCCAATTTTACCTCCGAAACCCCTATGACTTTCCGCGCGTTGAACACATACGCCAACTAGTATAAAAATAAAATCCAATTTTGCACTGTAAATAAACTTAAGAGTTGCCATGAACAATAGTTTAATGCTATGTAGGTGTTTTCTATCTGAGTGATATGTTTTCAGTTCCACTTGATCAGAGCAGATAATGTAGGCTAGTAATGGATAAAACGATGTGAAACTAATAGTCAATTAGTGGTTGGAAAAGATTAATAAGAACTTAATAGGACTTACTTCTTGCTTTTTAACATTCTCCAGTAAGTATCTGGATTCAGTCACTTCCCGTCTGTCCAAGAAAGATCGACGATTCATCAGTTCTAGAAGAAATCTGATGTAGAACCCGATGAAGCCAACTATACAATAGTATATGGTGTCTGCTATCATCTATAAAAATCAATTATTATTCAGAAATGCTGAATGATCTGATAAGAATTTTTCTCAGTATTCCCAAGATTTTTACTTTTACGTTTATTTAACTTCTCATTCAAAAACAAAGAAATCATAAAATTGATTACAATGAATATACTTTATAATTATTACCTAATCTCTTGGTATTTATAAAATGAATGATTATCAGTCACATCCAACTTAAACAGATGTGGTTAAAAGTGGTTAAGAAACAAAATTTCTAATATATATGACACTTTTGAAGATATTGTTCCGTATCTGCTTTTGTTTGTTTGTTTCCGGTATAAATTCTTTCCGAGGAACTGCAGCGATACAAGTCCTTTCTTGATGAAACCAGTTTATTCTTTCTCGATATAAACTTTGTAATACACAGAATCTCCACAGTCAACACGTTCCTCGTCATATTAAACTTAACGACTTTTATAAACATACGCTATAATCACAGTGATTCACAAGCTCGATAACTTCGCTCTATGCGACTGCAAAACACAGAAACAGAATCAACTTACCGTGACTCGATTATCTATCTATCTCTGGCTTTCTTTGTCCGGCTTATATATTAGAATGAGGGCATCTCGATCAGACTAGAGTTGCCGGGAAAATTCATGATCCTTCGAGAAACTCCAGCGTCACGCGACTTCTGCTGTCATATCACTGCCCCTTCCTTGGTATTGTTCATCCCGAACAATAGCCACTTACATTAAACCAATAGATAATTAACAAAAACTTAATTAAATGTACAGAATTTACAAACACAAAATGAAAATACAACAAAGTCTCTTAATTTTACAGGACGTTTCTTCTTTTGTAATGTTTCCGTCTCATTGGCTTCTACTTTATGTGGGATTCATCTGCTCCATCAGGAAATGTCTCATTATAGGTAGCAGTCACATCAGTGAGGCCTGGCATGGCCAGGTGGTTAGTGCGCTTGACTCGCAATCTGAGGGTCGCGGGTTCGAATCCCCGTCACACCAAACATGCTCGCCATTTCAGCCGTGGGGGTGTAATTATGTGATGGTCAATCCCACTATTCGTTGATAAAAGAGTAGCCCAATAGTTGACGGTGGGTGGTGAGTACTAGCTGCCTTTCCTCTAGTCTTACACTGCTAAATTAGGGACGGCTAGTGCTGATAGCCCTCGTGTAGCTTTGAGCGAAATTCAGAAACAAACAAACACATAAGTGGTACTAACTTCATTAACGACTTCACTGTTTTCCTTCTGAAAACCAGGCAAAGTTCCTTCTTCATCAGTGGCTTTTTCAGGTGACACGTCTTCAGTAGCGTCATTTGTTCTGTGGTTCATTTCGTTCCAACTGAAATGTCCTGGACCATGATAACACCAAAGCCTGTTGGCATGCACCCACCTTTGGTTTTCCTCGCCAACCATATTTTATTCGGAAAGTCAAGTCTGAGAGACGATCCACTATGTCATATGGGCCTTCCCATGGAGAAGACAACCTAGGAGATTTCCCTTTGGTCTTCCTGGGATTATACAACCATACCTTGTCTCCTGGTACAAAACTGACTTCAGTAGCTCTCTTATCATAAGTTAACTTCATCGAATCAGCAGACGTTTTCAAGTTTGTACTCACTTGATGGTGAATATCATCCATCCTTTCCGATTATACTTTCACAAACTCTGACACATTCTCAGGCAACTCTTCGTAAGGTGGGCGTCTTGTTATCAGGTCCACAAGCAACCGAAGTTCCCGACCAAACATCAACTTTGCTAGAGTGTATCCAGTGGCTTCATGCTCTGCTGTTCTATAAGTCATCAACAGTGGAGGGAGTAAGACATCCCAGTCATCTTGACGACTATTCAAAACTTTGCCAATTCCTGTACCAGTGTCTAATTGTACTTTTCTACCATCCCATCCGACTGTAGATCAAGTGGCGTTGTCCTGGTCTTTCGTATGCCAAACAACTTGTAGCATTCATGGAATACAACTGATTCAAATTCACGGTCTTGATCTGAAAGCAGTTAGTATGGCATACCAAATCTGAAGAAGAAGTCACTAATAGCCGAAGCTACAGTTGTAGCTTCCTGATTTGGCATTGCATATGCCTCAGGCCACTTGGTGAAATAATCCATCACTACACAAATGTACTTGTTT